CCCGTTTCATCATCTCATATCCAAGAATCTTTCCATCTAGAACTATCTACCTATTTATTGAAGGTTTATGTATGTCTGATATTGTCTGTGTGCCGGAATGTCTGCGAAGAGTACGACAGATCGTACGCAGTACTCGGAACAAGCCAAAAATCAGGGCAGCGGATGCATTATATGTGAGGATGCTTGCTGTTGATGATATCGGTTCTCGAGAATCGAGAACAGAGGCTGATCGGCAACTGCCTCGTGAAAGCGCATCAGGGGAGTTGGAAACTAACAATGGTTTTGCATTTATTGGTGATTTTGTTTCGAAGTCATATGGTTACATCATAAATAACAAAGCTGATTGCTTGTCGTAAAGCCAAGAAGCGATATATGAATGGATAGTAGCCAATTTCCGTACAAATCGTTCTGTTGTGCTTAGTTCGTCTTTGTGACGACTGTCTGCTATTGCCGCCAGCATTAACGAACCTATAGATGGGCTTAAATTTCTACTGCCTTCATTGGGTATATTTGGCACAATGCAAATAGAAGAACTCTTTGTCATCGATCGTGGCAATCCAAACGAAGTTTTATCATAAATGGATCGCTTGTGCATCACGTAACACAAGTGTGCTGTTGTCTTCGCACGTGTGCGTTTGCGTGTTCCACTTAGTATTTAAAAGCTGCTGTCAGGGTCCGAGGTACAAAGCACAGATCTTCCGGCCAAGTTTTTAGCGAACTTGCTCTCTCAACTAAGTAGAGTTTTAGGCACCGTTCCAGGGCGCATAATTTAGACGTTCCTATTTTGGTACGACCTCGTTATGTCGAGGCCAGTCCACACAAGGGATAAAGTGCTTGTATAATGTGTGGTCTCTGAAGATTGTTCGTGGTAAATTTTTCAACACCGACGATGCAAAAAAATCGTGATCTTTTTAGTTTATCGTTCGTTCAAGTCACTTGCTAACGTCATCTCCAGATGGCAAACATTGGTGTACTTCGTAATCACACGTAAAAGTATATTATTGTTTATAACATAGTGCCAGCGTTAGCGCATCCATGCCCGAGAACTGATATATATACATAGATTTATGGCTGACACAAAGTATAATGGTTAAATTTCGAGGTAAACTAATCGGAACTTGTAAGCCATAAACATTATATATGCTATTCGGTGAGTTGTATTGAACGAAGTGCTCGTGATAACGCCGTTTGATGTCAATACGCGGGATTCGATGCTAGACCCACCGCCATTAGTGCCTGTGATTCCTATTCACATAATTTTGCGGTACACGTGGCTGATTTAACGACCCTTCGCGAAAAGACATCGATAAATTAGCGAGCTAACCGATTTAAATGTATGCCAGGAAAAAAAAAAGATTCCAGAAAATTACATTTTGCTGAAATTAGCTTTAATATGTTTGACAGTGAGCTTTGATATCACTTCCGTACTTTTCAACCACTTCTGCAATTGCATGATGCCAATGAAGGTGGTATTATTCGATGCTGTTATTCTCTTTGCAGTATTTTTAAATGTGTACCAATATTTGTATAGAACAGCTCAAAGGGTTTTCTACCAGCATACATCGCTCAGTTTGCAGGCATTACTAGTCAATGTTGTGTGGGGTGGTATATGAGTAAAGAGTATTTGTTAATCTGTGTAAGTACCTTTATCCGATTGATTGCTTTGACCGTCTCCAGAATTTCGACTCTATTACAACCTTTCCAAAGCGTTGGCTCTACAGCTTCTAATAGGTTTTTATGCTGACTCATCCTGAACTTCGAAAATAGATTTTAGAACTCCAAAGTCACTTTTTTTTTTTTTTTTTAAATTTTGTTTATCCAGTTTTATTAATCCAGCTAATATGGTACATTTTGTTGAGCCTTTATTGTTGCTTTTTATAATTTTCCATAGAAAAATTACACTTTTTCAGTGTCAGCAATGAGTTGTTACTCTCTTCGCTGTAAAGCTGGAGTTTGCTACGAATCCACTATCACCTAGAACACACGTTTTTAATAACGTATTTAAGAGTATCTATTGCGTGGTTTTTCCATAAAGACATCAAAATATGATTTAAGCCACATAGTAACTTCGTTGTTTATCAGGAAACTGTCTTCAAGCGCCTGGAAGCCACAAACGCATCATATTCTTATTCCTGGTTTTGTGAGCTGTTACTCAAAAATTGTTTTTATCGCTTGAGCTACGCTGATTGATTCGTCCAATTGACTTTACGTGGCCGATCTACTTTAGTTGTCTGAAGAAGCCAAATTCAGACATATCGGTTCTCTACTTAATATGCATACGTATCATTATTAAAAAAATGTGGATAATATCTATCAAATGTTTATTATATGTATACAAAAATATAGTTGTTTTGTATGGACATACGAAATGAAGAAATCAAATTTGATACACTTACTTAGAGAATTCGCTCAACGACGGCAATGCATCGTCTTCAGCGTCCTTGTGCAGACGCATTTAGCGTTTGACAAATGAAATCCCAGGGCACCGCATAGGATGTAGCGACAGCCATGTAATGCAAAACGCGTAAATATGTATTGAATAGGTTCGTTCCTCTCCAGGCTTTATAAACCATCACTCCCGTATTGTAGAAGTCGGAACGTATCACCGCCATGTACGCCATGCACTGATGGACTCCAAATAAGCAGTAGCAGGGCTAGATACGAATTTGAATCTATGCAATATTCTCTGTAACTTAGACTAAGTATTTCGAAAATTTTGTGATCCATTTCGCGTGTCTCGATCGAAGACCCGAGGTAGGTTAGTTCTGTACAAAAGGCAAACAGCAAGAGAGAAAATCAAGCGGCCTATAGCTAAGAGGAAAGATTCAGGGGCGAGGGCTGTTCAAGTTACCAAAGGCAACATGGCTGGTGAGACTGCGTCAGCCGATATGCTGATGAGGAAAGAAGAGCTTACCATCAGCTGGACGGGTTTCCCACGCATGAAGGTTTGAGCCGTTTCGCCTTGGAGGAGGCCAAAGCTGTTTGGCTGGAACCAATCGCCGCCGACCCATTAGAATAAGCATACTGGGAAACGTAGCCGTTTTACGCAAACCATCGCACCATCCTTCGCTTCCTAATTTCTGAGCGGCCGGCCCTCTCGGCGTACACGAAAACCTGAAGGTAGGGCAGAAAAGCACTCTCGCGCTTTTTGCCTAGCTTTCCCTTATTTCCGCAAAGGCAAACTCAGGCATACCAATTTTCACTTCTTAAATAGCCTCAGAATCGGTGTTAGATATTTGTTTCGACTTGATCTAGTCGACATTCATGTACTGTTTGACTGGGCTTTGATGTTCAAAATAAAGAAAAAGGCTTTCGTCTTAGCACTGTAAACCCACAGCAAACAGCGTCAGCTGCCTTTATTTTTTTTGCAAGTTCTAAAGTTATACTGTACTGGGCCGTTGGGCCAATTTATCAGTTTTCGTACTTCAGATATTTAGAAACATTCAGAAGACAAATTTTTCATTTCGTAACTGTGGTTAGTCCGTCACAGGTACAAGGTTGGGGGCTGAATTTGGGTCTTGCAGCATTATACAGGTCGGGTTCGCCAAGATTAGGGTTATTTGCTAGAATAGTATATGCTTTATGACAAATCGCACGATTGCGGGCAGGAGGTCAAAAACGGCACACAGCGGTCCCAATTAGAGGCAAAGGATTGTGTCAACTGTTGCCCTCTTTTCACTTTAATGAGCTCAAACGAGCTGGGATAGTGTTGATTAACACTGGGGCTCGACGCGGCTGGAGTCATCGCGAGCGAAGAAGTCCGTCCACTCATGTCACAACGGCAAAAGAGTTAGGGTAGATAGCTGCATCAAAATCGAACACCGTTCAATTCTACTATTAAGCAGAGATAGCACTACCCCCCGCGTCAGTTTCTTGTAACTCACTGTTACGAGCGACTACTTTGGTTTTGACATATGTCAAATTCTCCGCTTAGCGTACACCAGAATTCAACATACGATCATTGTACGGTTCCATCCACAGCTCGGGTACACAATTGTTTTTTTTTTTTTTTTGTTATGGAGCTTGTGGTGAAATATTTTACATGGCCGATGGAACCACAACTCATACAAATTTTCTAACAGCAGGCGTATTGCAAATTTCACAGCATTAAGACATTATGAATATTGTCTAAGCTTTGAAAGATAGCAAAGTCTTGAAATTTGAAAGCATTCAGGTATGGTAATAGCAAAAAAAATTGCATCAAAAAAAACCATGCTTGTGAAAAGACAGAGAGACAAATTACGGGTCTGCGGCGAAATATAAAACTACAAACCTATGACAAGCGACCAAGTGAGCAGACGCAGACGCCGGAGTACACACAAATGAATATGAAGCTCGAAACCGTCTCTAAGCGTATCGATAAAGATACGTTCGGGCAACGTTTGCTTCAAAGGCCACTTTAAAGTTTATGTGCGGATACGTACACTCTGAGGCAATTTTTGACACATCCACATCTGTTTTCTAGGCAAAACACACACGGTTCGGGATACCAACACAATGTAGACTTCACACACTTTAGTTAGCTAATTACTTTCTGACATGCACGTCATAGCAAGCCTTCACCGAAAGTAATAGTTTATTTATGTTTTGGGCTAGAACAGTAAACTTTTTCAAGTTCTCGTTTGGATAGTAGCCAAAAAGTTGTCCAGGAAATATCCGTAAAGCTACTGTAGATCTTTCATTCACAGAATAGTATGGATTGATTCGGCATAAAAAAGGATATATATGGATAATCAGTAGTACTCAGGGCTAAAGTTACCCGCTGTGCTCTATGAACAAAATGTTAAAATTGAATGTTAAATTTTTATTTTAAAACAAGCAAGGTTATTTTACTCTAGGCTTGTCATTAGCAGGCAAAGCTTACGTAATCGATATCTAAATCTGTTTAATTTTACTAATTATCGAAATTCGACTTATTTAATCGGAAGACGCTAACTAGATTAAAGAACGCCATCGGCTTTGACGTGGCTGGAATCTTATGAAGCATTGAAATAGTTATTTAATCTCTTTATACAGATAGCGGTCAAGATACCCAATTATAAACACCATAATTTAGTTTTGGTCTGGCAAACGTGACCATCGAGGAGATATTTTGAATCTAAACTCTGCTTTTGCCATGTTATTTTTATGTCTCAATAATAAGGGGCCGTTTTGTGCTTTGCGTCCAGTTCTTCGTAATATCAAGTTCCGCAAATATAAGGTCCTTTGGAATTTCTAAATAGCTCTCACAAAAAAGGGTTCTGAAAAGCAAACATATATCCTGAAAATAAAAAAAAGGAAATTGTGTAGCTAAAGAAGACCTCTAGAATACGCAGTGACAGACTCTACGGAACATTAATAACAAAAAATATGGCCTCCAACGACGCCCCTACTAATTGTATGCACAGCGCCTCAGGTATCGGAAATAGATAAATTGAATTATTCGTACTAGGCCCTTACCATCATATGTTCCCCCCTTTGACATGGCAAAAATATATTTATACTGTACTATTGTACATTTTTAGATTTATGGAAATGCACAATATTACAGTGCATAAATCGAGATAATTTTCGGAAGGCAACAACTGGTCATTCCAGGGATACCTTTTGGAGGCATAGCAAGGAAAAAGCGCTTGGCTTGAAGGATCCGTCTGGTGAACAGCTGTCCGCTCCCACGATCGAAAACACTATTACAGACTCCTCCCTTCCCCTCTAGCTTCTGGGCGCCCTTGTCGTCTCTTTTCGTCGGTGGTGGTCTTCACAGTTTATCTTCAGTCTTCCTCCCCCTCTGTCCATACACCGCACTCATTTTGACCAGCATGGGTTGGTATAAGCCGACGGCAGCGGGTGGATCTTCTCGAACTACAGAAGCAGAAAGTCCATTATTGCCTTCGTAAATTTTATCTCACTCTTACCCTTTCACTTTTTTTGTTTTTCATCTGTCTATTGCGGTTTATACCTGCCTTACAACGCTTTCCTTGGTTCCTCTTCGTTGATTTAAGGGTATCACTGGCTATTATTTCTAGCTAGTGAGCTCTTACCGCATCCATCCCACAACGATGTGACGGAACGGTAGCCGTTCTATATCTCTTGGCGCGTCTACCAGGGCTTGGACGCCCTCTTTCCTCCACTGCTGCTGTACAACAGCCCAATAAAAAGTACTCTGTCATTATAAGCATCATTACTATTGTATTTATATACATGTCTGTTGGCGATTAATAGGGGGTTTGACGGCAGCATCCACATCATAAAGTTGTATAGAAACATAGTATAGCTAACCTTATGTCCTACGTGGGCGGTTGCGATCAACTGGCCCCTTTAGGTCTTGAGATCCTACGGGCACAACCTGCCCATGAGAGATGCACAGCGGGCGGACGAAAAACCAAGTCGAGAAAGGAGAAACTTTCGCAAAATGAAGAAGTCTGCACGCCACCCACAGATAGGAACTCGGAAACAAAGAGGTGGCAGAAACTTATGTGTGCTGACCGCGATGCACGAAAAGGACGTACCGATTAAAGGACCATATGGACTGATGAGCATATTGATGAAAGATCGAAGGAAGTTGCTGCTTCGTTGTATAACTGCACCATGCTTCCTTAAGAAACATCTAATTCATCGTTCTGATCGCCATTGCATGGGTGTGCCGATGCTGTCGAAACACGACATTATCGAGTTGTATGCGACAATCGAACTTTTGTTCACCAATAAAGAATCAGAAACTTGTTTTTATAGCACAGTTTTGTCTGATCCAAAGCGACATTTTCAAAGACAAATTGAAGATAGATTACGTTTCATAAAAATAGTGCTTTACGTGATCACCCTTGGGTCTACCTGGGTCAAAATGAAAGGAGGTTGTATAGGCCACTGCACTGCGAACACATACGAAACCGGACATCGTTGGTGCTAATTTTCCAGAAAAATTAAAGGAACCACGCGGCCTCAGATTATAGCTCAGCTTATTAGGTATGCGTATATGTGAGCATACTTCCAGTCAAGTTAAAGCATCGTATTTTAGGAGTCGTAGTAACAACGAGCTACAGGTGGCTGCTTTTTTTTTTACAGAACGCATATTTCGGAAAAACCATATGCACCATATTGTGGATAACTATGAACTACATAAATCAGAATTGACGGCGCATGATTATTTTTCCAGGATTATGTATAAACACGACACGCATGTAAAGCCGGTCAAATTGACCCGAAAATAATGTCAAAGGAAAAACTACTCGTAAATCCGCCAGTACCTGGGTCACTCAAAAGGTGACTTCAAACTGCGCGGCAGAAGTTCGTGTAGGCGTATGGTAAACGAATATTCGTTCTGCCATACGACCTAACGGTATTATTATGAAGTATCGGCTGCTCGAAATCGCTTTTCGAATGATTTTCAAGAAGAGGAAGCCTTGTCCTTTTTTGTTGAATGAGTGATTTCGTCACACGGAATCATTAGTTGTCCATATAGTTTCAGCTTTGGCCCATGGAGTTTTATGGGCCTACAACGTAGGTAACTTCAACTGATATTTTATCAGAAAAGAACGAACTGTAGTTAGTTAATTTCGGCCACATAGTAGAGGAGCCTTTTTCGTGGCATCGGTTATGTTCAACAATGCATTACGCGAATTTTGGCCCACATAGCCCCATACCTCTCTATATACAATCCAAGTATACTGTTGAAATTTTTGGGATTATAAAAGCCAGGCCGTTTTTTCTATAATAGGAACGTCGGTTTTTGAAAAAGAACGTTATCAAGGTTGTAGCATTTTCGATATGAATAAAGACTGGAACTTTAGCGCACTGATTCAAACGCTAGCCTTTTCAAAGAATACTGAAAGTGAATGGAGTTCGACCTGGTCAAAGTTACTGCGTCAAGTTACATGAGCCGGAGTGAAATAGGGCTATATGATATTTTGCGCTGCGTGCTATACCCTATATGGGACAAGACTATTTCACGTTTCTGCTAAAATACATTTGGCGAATGTGCTAGTGCCCGGGTCTATAATGGTTATACACTGAAAGACTGCTTGTGGGCTTAATAGCCGTACTATGCGGGGCTACATGAACCGACAGAGTAGCCGTCTCTAGTTGATTTTTTCTGAAAGCAATGTACATCAACACATCTGAAAGATACAGACATCTTTGGCGAAAACACCAATATATATATATATATACATATGTATATGTATGTTCCCTGTGCGTGATTGGCACAATACTTGTAACACGCAAAGCCTACTTGTACCTTCTCCGCCTCAAATGAGAAATCATCAGTTTAACATAGCTAAACCTTGGCGTCTAAATATTAAAGTCGGCATTTTAGGGTCATGGGCTAACATTACGACTACTTTATCAGCGTCTTTATGCGTACAAGCAGATTAGCATAGTCTATTATTCATCGAAGCAAAGATGCAGAAAATGTCTTCCAAGGTTTTTGTCAATATATAACGAGTGTGGGGCCGTACACCCTATACCGAAATGGACTTTATAAGCGTCTAAATAATGTCTAAAAGGTCAGTTTTGTTATTATAGCTATCTAGCAAAAGAAACGATCTTAATTAGCACATTTCATCTCATACAAGAGATAGAAGATTTGCATAGTGTCTATTCGTAAACCGTTAATACCCTCTGGTTTTTCTAAATATAACGTCCACCTGTTTAACATGAAAATGTTAAACTAAAACCTTTTTCATGATTAGTAGTCGAGGCTTCGATGGAACAGTCCCGTGCTGAATTTACTAGATAGCAATGACAGAATAGAATAGTATATATCACTAATAATTTACTTACTTTATCGCCTTGAGGACCGTTTGCAGGGGGTCAGAAACGATCCTTTCCGACCCCATTTTCCTTAGACTAAATTACACTTCATTCGTAAGATAGGGACACAATATTAGAGCTCCAAGTACTATACTGCGTACTGACCGGCATCCGTCAGCTACTTACCCACGACGCTACCACTAAATCGGCCAAGTTCGGCGCAACAATGTACCTTAGAGAAACCACGCTATTAATTATACAAGTCATATCACTTGCTATCGTCTATAGTCGATGTGTTCTGTGAAATCGATGAAATCAATTGTCATTTAGTTTCGTAATCTTCGACTCGTCGTTTCCTGCCATTGCTTAGGCCCACAACACATACGACCGTTATGTGGTATGATTGTAACTAGAAATGGCATGGCTATAGGAACGAGGGTGCCGTAGTTGACTCTATAGCGACGCCATGCGTCAAGTGATCCCAATGTCAATTATGGACGACGCGGCGGTCGTGCTAACACGGGGTGCTAGCTGGGTGATATAGGACCATATATGAATATAGCGCATCGCGCCAATGAATTGTTACCTTCTCTGTTGCTTCCATCGCGCCTCACCACTTCCCTATTACGTTGCTACGTAATTTTCAGTTGATGTTTCTGCATGTGTAAGCGTGTGTCTGACAGCCAGCAGCAAAGCCGGCGAGCAGACGGAAGACATCCGACGTCGCCGTTGTGCTAGAGCTTGTCTAGAGTCAGTCAAATGGAAAAGCTCTCAGAACTCTAAATTTTGTATTGATAAGTTGACTGACAATGATGTGCCTCACCTTGCAGTTTTAGTGTGTAGTCGGCAACGTTCATTATCCCAAGTGGGACCTGGACAGTAAAGAAATAGAAAAAAAGAAAATTATTAGATGAAATGTCAATGAACTTATTATCTGATCTACTTATAAATGTTATGAGTTTCCCGCTAAGCATAACCTGCTGAGAGAATTAGGCACTTTATAGGTAAAGTACACTACTATATGTCGTTCAACAAGAAGCTGATACGAAAGACACGCTTTTCAATAATCGCACTAATGAACTTTATCTCATCAAGCTATCAAGCTAACCTTTCCCTATAAGGCTGCTTGAAAATATATGGAGCATTAGCGTAAACCTTAAAATCCCGTTAGGCTTCACGGAGCCTTTATGGAAGTGCACTCGAAGCGGATGCTGACGAAGTTAGAGAGCAAAGATCCGATCTCACAAACCATTCACATCTGCCGCCGTCGGCATCCTCTGACCTCTTCTGTTGTCAAAACACCGTCCTACTACAGTGCTATTCTAGTCCGCAACACCCTCAGATTCGAAACTGCGAATGTTTGTCCCCGGGCATCTTTCTTCCACTACCTTTCGTTCATCTATCGGCCAGGCAAGCAACGCCTTTTCCCTCTTCGTCGTTCGTTTCTTCTTCTATCGCTATTTCTAGATGGGACGGCATAACCACGACGAGAAACTGGTCGCTGGCCGCTTCGTTGTTCACTTTACTGCTTTACGCAGCAGGCTGCCGGTCGGTCCTATTAAGCCTTAATAGAATAATAGAATGGTACTGCAGGCGGTGCGATCTAGCACAAGAACCGCCTGATTAGGCATCAAGGAGTAGTGTCAGGGACAACGGTAGCAGCGGCACGCCGCAGGCACACAGAAACGCAAGCAGTGAATACGAGCAAGTGGTATGTACTGTATATTCCTCATTCTACGTGACTTGAATTAGCCATGTTGTTCGACGCTACAACGGCAATTGCAGTAGAACGATGAATCGTAGTGATTAGTCGGTCGAAATGATAGTCGACATCCGTATTCTTTAATACGCTCTCTAAAAAGATTACAGAAAGCAACGGAACGAGGAGGATTCGCTTGAGAGACGGAACGGCCACAAGGGATTACTCCTGTAACTATTGTTAGCCATTTTCTCGTTGGTGATACATGTCCGCTCTGCTCCCATGCCTGAACCGTCTGTTTACCAACAATCAATAGTAGGGACAACCGAATGAACGGTACAATAGTAAATATTAAAAACTGGATGCCCCCATGCTCACCTTCGAACATTTTCAGATCTCGTAAAATAAAAGCCAGATGTTTCTCCTATAATAATAATAGTCATACATTTATAGTAGGTTTATGTGAATAAGTATTTTTCGTTATTAGCCAAAAGTGAGAATCCGGAGACGATGTCAAGGTACGAGGAGAAAATGTTGCAACAGCCTGATCCTAATTTATGATATGGTACACGCTGATGATAGATGTCTATCATCCACGGTAGCATTTAAGTGTGGGGAAGCCCTTCCCTGCCGGCCTTCCAACAAGGCAACGTTATGGGCAATGCAGCAACATAATAACACATGCACATTTGTAAAAAACTACATATCAGATGCATACGCAACGTGAGGAGCTGCTCAGTCCTGTTGGACTCATTTGCCATAATTAACGATCGGCAGTAGCAAGCACTTAAATGTGATGTTACCGGTCATATAACTCAGTAATCCTTTTTCCCAGAACCTTAACTGCTGCAAAGCAACAGGCAATAGGACAGGCATCGAAAGTCCACCGTGGCTGTTCTAGATTCTGACTTGAAAGTTAGGCAAACTTTCGTCATTGGTAAGCCGATTGTAGTACTGGACGAAATCAGGAAGCCTGTCGCTTGCAAACGTCGATTACCTTCAAATAGGACGTTGCATAAAGCGTTTTTTTTTGAGTTCGAGGTTGACCACTAAGATCACATGTCGCCTTGAACATTTCCTGAAAGGTTACCTCCACGGCATGGAGGAACATTACGTTCAGCTGGTAGGTGGACCTGGCCACTGTGCTTCGCAGTATCTCTCCTTCGTACTTTTCTCATCCTTCAGTTGTCGTCATGAGGAGCCATGGCGTAGGACGCAGTTTTCGGCTTAGGCCAGAATGTCACGCCATAGATTCCTCGCTGTTCCCAGGAGACTAAACACTGGCGAACTGTGCCTTCACATGACTGATCCAGATTGACAACTCCGACTATCTGATTGGTATTAGAGCCTGCCCCTCTTCCTAATCAGCACACTAACGATATACGGCTTGGTGATGTCGGCGTTTCTTGAACGAAATAGTCGAGCCCATTACATACCAACAAATAACCTAGATATACGTATCATACATGTAGGACACGAAGCGGAGATAGGGACAGTCAGTTAGTGAGATTAAGGACCATATGTAGGCTTTCTCTATCAATGATTAAGATATAGGTTTAAAATGCATGCGTCGTTTTTCGTGCATCATAAGCGTTGCTAACATAATAGCTTCACTTAGCGACAAGCTACTCCCAATTGCAATTGAGTTTCTGCAAAAAACATTGATTACCCTAAGTGAAGCAGTAACGAGTGCATTAGCATTAGTGTAAAAAGTGTAGTCCAATGATTTGCTCTACTATCAAATTTGCAAGTCAAGACCGCATATGCCCGGTTAAAGGCGGACATCCTCTAATTTCCACCGCCTATTCCGTTTCTTCGAGCATCCTTTGGCCATTCTGAAGCCAAATGGCGTTTATTGCTTTCCGTATTAGATACCTTTTCACGTCCTCTTTTTTTTTCATTTTAAATCGCAAGCTAAACTCTATTCTGTGGTACGATTCAGTGGACGGAGGTACGCAATATTGTAGCCTGCGTCATAAATTTTCCAGTCTCTTGGAATAACCTCTTAAATTGTAAAATGCCGCCGTGTAAAAGTCTCATCTGAGTAGCAGATGACGTTCGAACCAGACAGTTCCTTTCGTGGTGGTTAAAGGTCTGTCTGAATTTGAACGAAAGATAGCAGACAAGACAAATGAGCAAAGCATAAATAACGATGCAGTTTTCAGAATAGCAGTTGCCGTTGTTTCAACCAATCATTAATCATTTGCTTTCGATAACGGCTGACGCGGGTAATCTCTATACGAAGTCATCCCTTTAAAACACGCCGAACAAAGAATAAATGTAAGATGTAATTCTAGTGCCAGTATCGAACTTATGCTAAAGTCTTAATTTAAGCAAAACAAAGAATCTAAACAGGGGCGTAGGCCGGAGAGAGTAGCAGGGGACTGAGTCGTTGGAACTGAGCGGTGTTCTGCTGTCTGCGCACGCTGCAAAAGTACATCGCTATTATCACCATTATTAGAGGCAAATCTGGCGGCTTCTTAGAAAGAAATGCTAAATGGAACTCTAGTAACTCGTGGACAGACAGATAGATCAGTGGGCTGGGACTAATCGACAGGGGGATTTTCGGCTTCTTCTAACTTGCTTCCTTTCTAAGGGGAACAAAAAGACCTCGACCTAGACATAAAAGATATCAAAGAGCGACAGAATTTGAATTTTGGCTAGTTTGGCAGTGGTAAAAACGCGGTCAACCAAAAAAGCCAAGGATATAGAAAAAAAAAAGCCTACGCAAACGTGGGTGAAGGGTGCATGAATGAGGAGAAAGCGGCGAAATGTTTCGAGACAAGCCCATAGCGACAACATGTAGGCGGGAGATGGCCATACACAACAATTTAGGTTTGCTGCTGCTGCTGCCGTCGACAAGATCTTATTGCAACTCAAGAAATCCGAGAGCAACAAATAGTATGTAGCCAATGTTACAGGAAATTCGAACACTACCCCAGCAAATTTCAGGGGGTATAGAAGTGGCGCAGTTAGGGAGTCCCAGCAAAACTCGCTAGATAAATACATACGATATCTAGGTAAGTCCATTGACGGATGAATGGCAAAGACGAAAGGAATAGAAAGGGGGAAGTGGGAAGGAAATCGGAGCGCCAGAGCCATGACGAAGCTAACATCACGGCATAGACGTAATACGAAAGATTCCGCCCTGAATTGGCGAAGCTATCTTAAGCGTCAGTAGCGAATGATGGCGTATTGAACAAAAGCGAGAGCTGAAAGACTAGGATGAGTGGCAGCTAAGTGCTTTGAAACAATATCCCAGTCTGGGCTCATGCTGCTCCTGTAGAGTTCGCTTTTGCATCATCACTATTGGTAAAACTCGGCGAGCCCGTTTTCGGTTTCTAAAATGTTGAACGAGGGCTGTAGGGGAGTGAGGGAGGTCAGTGAAATCCTTGTATATGTGTGTATATAGGAAAAATGATGAGTTAAAGGGAATGGGGACAGAACAACATCCAGCAAGTTGGTCGGCCTTTCCTTCTACAATCTGGTCTTGTACTGCTACTTATCCAACCGGTGTCTGTCCTCTATTGATGATCCGCCACCCTCGTTTCGTACCGTAGCCCGACGCTGTTGCTGAAGTAGAGGCATTTTCGCAATAAGCTCAAATTTCAGCTGATGACATCCGATGCTAACGGAAGAGAGCAAAGCGATGAATTGATGGCAAGATTATAGACCGGCTGAATTTCTAGATCGACAAACCGACCGGCCATCGATTCAACAAACATTCAGGATTGTAACGTTTGCTGGAAGACAAACAGTAACGTACACCGATACGCAAGTGGCGGGCGGGGCGGGCATTCGAAAAAAAACACATCTAGCTTAAGCCTTGCCCCATGGTCACGTCGGTTCACTTTTTGCGCAGTACAAGTCCTACAGTCGCCAATAGACCTGATCGTATGGTGAGGCAAATGCAGATGTGTGTGCGTCTATGAGCATGTGTGATTGCGTCCGTAATGGGGGGCACAAACATGCAGCTATCATCATGTCGTTGAGTAGAGAACGCTGGACGTTGAAATTGGTTATGAAAGAGTATAATCTCTACGAACACGAATGTAGGTGCCCGCTCCTTTCCTCTATAGAACAAGATACTCGGTTATCAATGTATATGGTAAAAATTTAAATAAACAAATATACATAATGATGCATTGAAGATGCTTAACAACTTCGGTTGAATAG